GGTTTTTTTATTTGTATGACTATCTACAGATTGATAGAGATATGTATAATACTATATCAATTGCCTAATTGCTATTCTTTGTAAAGTTAATTTGTCTCATTGAAGACTTTTTTCTAATTTTTCCTCTAAATAACTGAAGGAAACTGTTAATTTTTATAATTTTCTTGACTTTAATCTTAAAAATAATCCAAAAGTAATTGGTCCATTCAAGTTGGTCAGTACAGGTTCAAGATAAAATTACTGGTTTGTGTAGAAATATTAAGAATTTAGCCAATGTAACTGTTTTTTTGTTTATGTGATTTTTAAAAATCATGTAAACATGGCGTAAGAAAATATTATAAAGAATATTCGATTAATATAAATGACTGCACAGCATAATACCTGTCACTCTCTGAAAAGGAATGCAAAGGAGTAATGAATGAAAAATAATTATTAGTACAACAGGATTTCCATGAATAATTGATGAGAGCCTAGACAAGGAGGAAACAATAGGTATCACCCATTTTGAGTCCTATAAACTTTTCCATATTTGCAGAAGATACTGCTTGTATGTATTTTTTCATTTCAAAAAGGAAAGTGTTTTGCTTTTATTTCTGACTATATATTATCATTGTAGAAGGCATTCAATATTAAAGACTAAAAGTATTTTCTGTTAGTCTATAATATGAAGATCAACCATAAACCTATCATCGAGAAAAAACTACCATAGTTTTTTGCCTATTCCTCAAGAATTAATTATATTAACATACATTTCACATATTTATAAAAATGAGACCACACTGTACATAGTTTTATAGCCTCCTTTTTTCCCTTAATATATAATCACTGCTGTCTTTTAATGTCCATTAATACAGATCTTCATAATTCTTAATGGCTACTGTTAAAATGAATATTTTATTTTATGTCTATTCTATAATTTATTTGATCAATCCTCTGTTGATTAACATTTAGTAGTTTCAAGTTTTTTACTTTAAATATTGTAATACATCTTTTCACATTTGACAAGATTATTCCTTAAGAAATGGAAATGCTAGGTCAATGAGTCTGCATAAGACAAAAGTCTTAAAATTAAACGCAAAAAAAGTTAAAATATGTGTTATTGCTGAACTGTCCTCCAAAAGAGGTCATAGTCATTTTGCTCTCACAGCTTTTCTACACTGGTTTTTCTTTTCTTAATTTTTATTTTCAAATTCTGCAAAGTTTCAGAATACATTATGTTAATATTACCTTAAAAATCATTTACAGGCTGGGCGCAGTGGCTCAAGCCTGTAATCCCAGCACTTTGGGAGGCCGAGGTGGGTGGATCACGAGGTCAAGGGATCGAGACCATCCTGGTCAACATGGTGAAACCCCATCTCTACTAAAAATACAAAAAATTAGCTGGGCATGGTGGCGCGTGCCTGTAATCTCAGCTACTCAGGAGGCTGAGGCAGGAGAATTGCCTGAACCCAGGAGGCGGAGGTTGCAGTGAGCCGAGATCTCGCCATTGCACTCGAGCCTGGGTAACAAGAGTGAAACTCCGTCTCAAAAAAAAAAAAAAAAAAAAAAAAATCATTTACATTCCAACAGGTTGGAAATTATATTTTATTCTTTCTTTTAATTTCCAGAATTTAATTACTAATGAAGTTTATCATGTTTCCATGTGTCTATGGGCTATTATCTTACTTCTGCTTTTCTTCTGACATATACAACTTATTATTATTGACTTGTACACACTTCTCAAGGATTACAAATATTAATTTTTTGTGATATCTATTTTTTAGTATGTCATTAGTCTTTTTACTTTATGTCATTTTCATCAAAGTTTTTATGCATTCCAATTAATGCCTTTGATATCATTCTTAGACATTCTTTATAACATTAGTGAGAAAAAATTCTGTATTTTATTCTAATTATATTATCTTTATATTTTCATATTTTTCATTTATATCTCTAACCTACTTAGTTTTTCTTTTTTAGAAGTATACATTAAAGATTTAACCATATTTCTTCCAAATGGTTAATTACTATCCCCACACCACTTCTGAGCAATGCATATTTTCTCCATTAAATTCTTGGATACGTTGTTATCTAGTTCCAGATTTTCACCTCTGTTTCATTGATCTTAGCTGTGTAATTGCAAGGTATTGTTCAGGTTTTTCTGCAATAGTGCTTTGTAACAAGCATTTCTTCAAATCGCAGTGGTGTACAACAACAAATATTTCTTTTATGGGTATCTGGGTCAGCTGTCACACTGCAGTGTTCTTCGGGACACAAAGGGACCCTGCTCCAAGCTACAGGTCAGATTTGAGTGCTACACATTTTTTCTTTTTTCAGGCTGTAATAACAACAGCTTCCTGGAACAAATTCTTCTCATAATGTATGGTTAAGAGTACAAAAAAGCTGGTGAAACTTTCCATAGTCTTAAACCTCAACTCCAACACATTCTTTTTTCTATCCACACTGCATTGGTCTGAAGATCACCCAATCTACCCTAAGTGAATGGGAAAGGAGAGTGCATTGTCTCCACAGGGAAGGCTTGTCAAGGACAAGAGAATGAAGAACTGTAAGCAAATAATAGTATCTACCACCCTGAGCTAGTTATATTTTCTAAGGCTCAGTTTCCTCAGTGTCAAATGGGATAATTGTGAAGATTCAACTGTATAGATGATAAATGTCAAACATATTGTTCCCGGTATTTAGTCATTCAAAAATTGCACATCTGCTTCCTAACAGTATATCACTTAAATTACTATAGTTCTGTGATACATACACATATATACAGAGGGAGAGAGAGAGAGAGAGAGAGAGAGAGAGAGAGAGAGAGTCTTGAACTATTGCCCAAACTGGAGTGCAATGGCACAATCTTGGCTCACTGCAACCTCCGCCTCCTGGATTCAAGTGATTCTTCTGCCTCAACCTCCCAAGTAGTTAGGATTACAGGAACCTGCCATCATGCCTGGCTAATTTTTGTATTTCTATAGAGATGGGGTTTCATCATGTTGGCCAGGCTGGTCTTGAACTCCTGACATCAGGTGATCTGCCTGCCTTGGCCTCCCAAAGTGCTGGGATTACAGGCATGAGCCACCGTGCCGGTCAAGATTTTTAAATACGTAGAAGGGCAGATTAGCTCCTACCCCTACCACTCTTTCTTTTAAAGGATTTTTCTGACTATTCTCTACCATTTTTTCCTCTAGATGAATAAATAGATTTTAGATTCTATCACATATGTTCATCTTTTTAATAAGTGAGGAAAATATCTTCTCAGTCATACTACTTTTAGACTGATGAGCAAGTTGTTCCACAGCCTTACCAAGAGGAGGTTGAGGAATGACTTGGAACCCATAATAATCAACATATTTTCTGTTTATTCAAAAAATTCAAAACTATACTGCACCAATTTGCAAATGATATTGAATAAATTGGAGTGGTTAGTATCCTGAAAAAATAAACTAAAATTTAAATAAGGATAAATAATATATATATATATATTTTTTTTTTTGAGACGGAGTTTCGCTCTTGTTACCCAGGCTGGAGTGCAATGGTGAGATCTCGGCTCACCGCAACCTCCGCCTCCTGGGTTCAGGCAATTCTTCTGCCTCCGCCTCCTGAGTAGCTGGGATTACAGGCACGCGCCACCATGCCCAACTAATTTTTTTGTATTTTTAGTAGAGATGGGGTTTCACCATGTTGACCAGGATGGTCTCGATCTCTTGACCTCGTGATCCACCCGCCTTGGCCTCCCAAAGTGCTGGGATTATAGGCGTGAGACACCGCGCCCGGCCTAGAAATATTTTAAATAATGAGGAAGGAAGAGATATGCTGACATATAATGAGACCTTGCCTTCCTAAAAAAGTAAATTTTAAAAATGTTACAAATGCTTAAACTTACTTGTTCAGTCTCACTAGATTTCAGCTACAGGTTTTGATCTCCACTTCAAAAAATCCTGAATATGTAAAACAAGTCTTTCACTGTTTTTCTCTGAAACATACCGTAGTCTTAACAGAAATCTTCCTTGACAAGAGGAAAGTTTTTTATGGTTGAGGCCTGAAGTAGTCTCATTTAAGGCCATTTTAAGCTGACTTCTAATATTAAGATAGTTAAGGGGAAAATATAAGCATCACTCATCTCACATGGCCTCTACAGAATCTGATCTGGTCAGCAGAATAACTGCAAATAAAAGCATTACATCCTAAAGTTTACTATAATTTTCTCTTTTTCCCCCATCCAGACCTTTTCTTTTTTTTGAGACAAGAGTTTCACTCTGTTGCCCAGGCCAGAGTGCAGTGGTGTGATCTTGGCTCACCGCAATCTCCACCTTTCAGGTTCAAGCAATTCTCCTGCCTCAGCCTCCTAGTAGCTGGGATTCCAGGTGTGCGTCACCATGCCCAGCTGATTTTTGTATTGTTAGTAGAGATGGGGGTTCACCATGTTGCCCAGGCTGGTCTTGAACTCCTGACCTCAAGTGATCCACCCCCTTGGCCTCCCAAAGTGCTAGGATTATAGGTATGAGCCACTACGCCTGGCCAAATTTATTGCTATTTTCTGAATGAAAAGGTATTATACTAACAAGATGGAACAAAATCTAGTGACAGTTACTGCTTTAACAATTCAGATTCAGAAATAGCCACTCATCCTCCCAGAAAGAAAAGTTTTTAACTCAACAAGTAGAAAATAAAGCTGCTTTCATACATTTTTCTATAAATGCTTCAAAGAAAGAAATAGACAGGTAAAAACCTTAAAGCAGAGGAAAATACAGCAAGAAATAATGTGGCTTTTTGTTTGGTTTTAATCATTCATATTATTTTCTTTGTTCTTTAAATCTACTTCTCTTTTTCTTATTTCTAAAGTCAATGGAGAAAGGATACATTGTTGTAGAACAAGCAATAAAAGACGTTAATGATATAGTAGGTAAAAATGTAAAAAATCTTACTTAGGTCTTAACAGTCCTGCAGGACATTAGCCTCTCCTTACATTCTGTTTTGTTTATGTTTTATTTCTTTTAGAGATTAGGTCTTCCATACTTACCTGGCAGGGGAGATCACAAAGGTGGTTTTCCCAGGGTGAGGCTTATGCATTGCACTCTGGATGTGTTGACCCCTGCGTTTTCCCCAAATGGAGAAAACCCAACTGCAGAGTTTGTGATAGTGGGGGACTACACTGGAGCTTTCCCCTGACTGAAAAAAAAAAGAGAGAGAGAGAGATTAGGTGTTCCTAGGTTGCCTGTACTGGGCTTCAACTTCTGGGCTCAAAAGGTCGGCTTGCCTCAGTCTCCTGAATAGCTGGGACTACCGGTATACACTAGTGCACCCAGCTATCTTCTGTTTTCTTCTCACTTCTCACCACCTCCATTTTTCATCAGCACTGTCATCTTAATTGAACATCAAAAGAATGAATGATGCTATTGGGAGCTACAACTTTTATTTAAATGTACAGTAGTTCTAACTTTTAAATAATTGATGATCTAACAGAAGAGACAAGATATCCCTGAAATGAATTCACTTAAAATAAACTAATATGTATTGTTTAGTTGTTCTAGATATTTACTTGTAGGTTTGCTTATTATATAGATATTTGTATGCATCTATTACATAAATTATTACATATAAACACATGTACATGAAAGGGAGGAAGTCATCATTGTTCTGTATTAGTCCAGAGATGATTTCGGCAAGAAAATATTGATGGCTGATAATTCCCTGCTTTTAGAAAGCTTTAAGGTTATAATGGACCAAAAGACCACCTGAACTTTTTACTTCTAGAAACTGCAATATTGTCACAAAAATAATTGGTCTCTATTGGACAACTAAGAATACACATATATAATATCCAACACATATATACACACTCATTACTACTAGTCTGTTTGCTTTAGGGAGAAAAACTTTCTTTCTTTTGAACTTTGTTTCAAAAGGAATTTGGATGAACTAGAAATAAATTCATATATGAAGAAAAAAATTCTTTCTGTTTTCCATTTCCATATGCAGTTTGATAACTGACTTCTACTTTAGAACTATTTTTCACACAAATATAAAGAATACGCATTGAAAGAAATGTTCATGTTGTCAGCAGTAATGAAATTTAAAATCACTTTTCTGGAAACATAACCAGTCCTCATGCAACCTTCACTCAAAAGAGCTAATAGTAGTATAAATGCATCCCATTTACTGAAACTTCCATTTATATTTCTAACTTGGATGACTTTAGTAATGTCATACTTTCTTAAAATTAATAAAATAAAATTGTTTTACTTACCTGTATCTCTATGAAGGAATAAATGTGGCTATACAACTAATGTTGTTTTTTTTTTTTTTTTTGAGACGGAGTTTCGCTCTTGGTACCCAGGCTGGAGTGCAATGGCGCGATCTCGGCTCACCGCAACCTCCGCCTCCTGGGCTCAGGCAATTCTCCTGCCTCAGCCTCCTGAGTAGCTGGGATTACAGGCACGTGCCACCATGCCCAGCTAATTTTTTGTATCTTTAGTAGAGACGGGGTTTCACCATGTTGACCAGGATGGTCTCGATCTCTCGACCTCGTGATCCACCCGCCTCAGCCTCCCAAAGTGCTGGGATTACAGGCTTGAGCCACCGCGCCCGGCTACAACTAATGTTATATATTTGTTAGCTATCCTATATTTTTACAGGGACAAGCTCCAATATATCTGTTCCTAATGATCTGGAACTTCTTGTCCTTGGTAGGGTGAGTTGGAATACCATTTCTGATATTTTTTGTACTGAGGATATTTTCTTAGTACTTCAAAATCCAAATAACCTTGAAGATCCCATCTAGCACAACTTTGGATAAAGATATATTACCTACCTGTAACTGAACAACAAAGATAATTTTTTCCTCAACAGCAAAGTGGGAAAAGTATTCTGAGTTCCATCTGAAACTTGGTCCATTTCTTTTTAGGGTACACTGGACAATTAAATAAACTATTTTCAATTTTTTTGGTTAAGTGAACTTTTAATAATAAAACAAGCCACCTAAATGGTTTTCCATTGAGATGAGAAGTTTTATAAAGACCTTGGGTTGTTTTACCCAACACTTTATGCTGTGAATAACTCATGGTTATCTTGAGAACTAGGCTGTAACATGCCTTTCATGGTCTAATTTTAAAGGTTTTGTGGAATCGAGCTTCCACTACCTTCCTGGGAAGACACTTCTCCATTGTAGCCCCTCTAATTATTTAAGGTAGGTTTCCATTGCTTTAAAATAGCTAAGTTATTCAAGTTTGAAAAACAGCTACTGCACAAGCAGCCTGACTTAAACTGACAAAAGCAAGGAAATTCTGGATCCATAATTCACCTTCCACCCCTTGACCTCACAAACCGCCATATTAGCGTGATCACACCAAAATACCAGCTTGTGTTTACAGTTTCAGTCCTCCTGATGGCGGACGGGCGCGTGTACACGAGCACTCGCTCTGTGTGCACTGAATAGGATCACGATCCGGAGAGCTGAAAATGTAAACACAAGCTGGTATTATGGTGTGACTGGCGGTTTGTGGTTCTTTGTTTGAATACTTTAAAAATGGGCACCCTGGCAAGAACAAAAGAGGCATAAAGCAGAAGTGCTTTTAAACGGCTCCGCTCATCTTTGTCCCTCCTCAGGTAGACCCGAAACAACTTATCCACTTGACGGGGTCCCCAGGAACCATGTGTTTTTGCCTAGTTAGCTATGCTTCAATGCAACAGTTTTGTTTTCAAATGCAGGCCGTTAATACTTTGCCTTTGGTAGTTTACAATTATTTTCTGAGTATTTGCAAGCACTATACCTCTCCAGTTATTATTTGTACCAAAATCTTCCACCTTGTAAATTAATTGCAATGTCTGATATGTTTGAGCAAGAACCTAAACGTCTTATATGGCCTTTTTAAAAATTTACAAGTTAACAATGGTTCTCTCACCCCAAATGAAGACTAGCACCAACCTAACTCTATTAGACAAAGCATCTACCTATCCGCTCTTGCTTATGCAATTGTAGTCATTGATTTTGAAGTGTAAATGTTGACCTCAAGAGAAACGTAAAGGGTAAAGTGTAAAAAAGTTAAAATTATAAGCTTTATTTTAGTGTAGCACTTGGTAGCATAGTTGGTCCATCCGTTTCCTCTGCAGTCTTTGTTATTTTACCATCTTGTTTTTGTTTTTTGTGTTTTTTTGAGATGGAATTTTTGCTCTTGTCGCTCAGGCTGGAGTGTAATGGCTTGATCTTGGCCCCCTGCAACCTCCACCTCCTGGGTTCATGCGATTCTTCTACCTCAGCCTCCCGAGTAGTGTGTGCCACCACACCTGGTAATTTTTTGTATTTTTAGTAGACACAGGGTTTCACCATGTTGGTCAGGCCGGTCTTGAACTCCTGACACAGGTGATCCACCCACCTTGGCCTCCCAAAGTGCTGGGATTACAGGCATGAGCCATTGTGCTCAGCCAATTTGTCCATCTTAACATTAAGTTTCATCATCGTTCCCTTCACTGTAAACTCTGATTCTTAGATTGACTTGTAGAGTGAAGAGATTACCATATCATTGCAAGGAGAAAATTCAGACATATAAAGAAGAAAGTTTGAAAAAAACTTAATTCCTCAAAAATGTCAATATAGCACATGATGTGCTTGACTTGGTGGTAAAGTACTGTTTTGATTTTTAAAGAACAACATTCTCCCTTTGGAATTAGGTATATCATTGCTATAAAAAAAAATAACTAAAGGAACAGTGGATAGTTTGGCAGATCCCTTTTGTTAAATAAAAGTTATAAATTGATTTTACACCTATTGAAGCAGCCATTCGCCACTGTAAACTTATTTTTGACAACTGTTTCTTTTAGAATCCGGTAAATAATTGAAAAACAAAAGCGATTTTCTCAACACAATTGAAAAGTAGTTAATGTAAAGACATAAATACAAACAACTCCTGGTTGTAGACAGTTTTGATGTAGTCTTCGATTCTTAATAAAGGAATAAAGAGGAATCTTAGCTTGGGATGTTTTAATGAAATGCCACTCAAATGGAAGCAAGTGATTTCAGAAGTGTTGTCAGTCACTTTAGACTGAAGAGAAATAATAAGAAATAGCTTTTAAGATATCAAATAATTTACACTAAAATGCTATACCATAGCACCTCACCTTTGAATAGGTCAACAATTTGCTTTGTTTAAAACATACTGTACTTGATCACTTCATGAAACTGCACAATTTGATTGAACTTTGTCATCTTATATCTTGATTATCTCTCTCCAAGTGAGATCCCTCACTAAGACAGCTTGCAAGCATTTCACAAATTATAATAAAAGAACCACCTACATGTACGTCAATACTGACATATCTGAATTTTGTTATTTTCACCTGGGGTATGTTTAGGCTCAATTGAAGACTAAATTATGGAATGAATAGATTTCCTGGAAGAGTGAGTTTGGCCTTATTTTGCAAACATGTTTTCAGAACAACCGTATGAAGCTGTTTGGGAGATTCATTACCCATGGTAATATGTTCATATATATAAATAATTAATACATAATGAATTAACTTTTCACAAGTTTTATCCCCAATATAATATAAACTCGTATCTTTTGTGCCATATTTCATATTCTAGAGAAAAAAATTCTATGCTACAGGAATTCATAACTTTAGCTTTTCATTTTAGTCATTTTAAAAAGTTTTTATTTCAAATATATGATTATAATTTTACAGATAGCTCAAAACATCTATGAGCTTGCAGATATCCTTATTATTCCTCAAAATTTGCATTGGCCCATATCCACTTTTTGATGTCTTCATTTTTCTTAGCTACCTAATAGTATTAGCATTTACAGATAAACGAGGCCTTTTAAATTAGAAGGTCTTTGGCAAATTTATCTTGTGGAAACTAGCTAAGAAAGGTAAAGTAGGGGTCACAAATGCTGCAACAATTTCTCAACTCTATGTTTAACAATGAGGGTTTTTAAAAAGATGAAAAAGTTCTAGAGATGAACGGCGGTGATGATTGCACAGCAATGTGAACAGTTAAAATGGTTTCACATTAAATATATTTTACAACAATAAAAAGTAGAGTTAAGATTAATTAGAATGAGAAATTAGGGACTGACTCTAAGAACCTATTTGCCTCAAAAAAAGCAACTATACTACAGAAAAGATGCAAAAATAGCTGAGAGATTAAGCAGGAAAACCAAACATTCTTCCCA